CAACTGTACTCACATACCTCAACTCATATGCTGATCACTTTCATCTCCGCCCATATATCCACCACAATACCACCGTAACAAACATAGAATATCAATCCCCAAAATGGATTGTCCAGACGGGTCCACCAGCACCCTCCTCTCCTGCTAAATTCGATCTAGTCATCATCTGCAATGGCCATTACAAAGTCCCGCGATACCCCGATATCCCAGGGCTCGGAGCGTGGCTCGATGCACGTAAAGCAACTCACTCCGCATGGTACCGAAACCCTTCGTCCACGCTTGGGAGCACTCTCCTTGTCGTTGGTGGTGGGCCAAGCGGACAGGACATCTGTAATGAATTGCGCTTATCAGGACGCACCGTTTTCCAATCCGTGTCCTCTCCAGAAGGCTTGGGACCTCACGCCCGCAGACGATTATCCCACTTAAGTGACCCTTCGAAAGGCGAAGTAACTTTCTCTGATGGTTCTACCCTATTAAACATCGACCACTGCATCTTCGCTACGGGCTATGAATTTTCGTTTCCCTTCTTTCCACCCCACATTCTCCAACCATCCGTGTCAGATCCCATACCACCATTACCAACAACTCTTCACAACTCGACATACAACATATTTCCCCTCGCAAAACACATTTTTCCTCTCCAAACTGCGTTCCCACCGACCTCCCTCGCGTTTCTGGGACTCTTAATTAGAGTCGCCCCATTCCCACTGGTCGAAGCACAAGCCAAAGCCGTATTGGCTGCCTTTGCCAACCCAGAGAAACTCGATCAAATAGGTGAGGCAGTTGACGTCATGAATCGGTACCAAGAGCTACGCGCACATCTCTGGGACAGCAATTCCGCACCAGGGGATGAGGAGATACAAATCTCCAAATTGTGGCACAGATTTGAACCGTTAGAGCAATTTGAGTATCGGGATCAGATGTGCGCGTTTGCTGGTGATGAAACGCGAGTTGAGAGCTGGGAGGTGGAGATATATTTGAAGAAGAATTTGTTGAGAAAGGTGTGGAATACCCTCGTGAAAACTGGGGAAGCGGAACAGTGCATCAGAGGTGTCGGCAAGGGCGGTAAATCTGAGTGGGTCGAGCTCATGAAATGGATGGTCAAGAAGGGAGAGGAGGAGGATTTGGAGGGAAAGGCGAGGTTGTGATCG